ACTCACAGCTGACTGTGAGCTGCCTGTTTTTGCGACGTAGTCCACAAAGGAGAAAACTGATTATCTTTATTATTTGTGGGATCATGTTTGGCTCGGTCAGCAAAATGTAATCCTAACAGGACAACTGAAGCACAGACGGTATAACAATAAAAGAATTTCTAAATACAAACCTGAAAATCAGCACCAGGCTGATTCTGTTAGATTGGCTGTTTACAAGTGAAGCTGCTTACCTTATATGGCCCCAAAAGGTTGATTCTGTTCATGTGGATGTATGTTTTCAGTGGCAGAAGCGTTTCGTCACTCATTGTTCATTCAGTGGGCTGCTTTCAGTTATTGTGCAAATGTGCTGTTTTTAAGGTTGGGGAAACCTGCAGTCAGCTGAGACTCAAGAAGTCACTTGGATGAGTGACGAAACGTTTCTCCCACTGAAAACGCTACGTCCAGGTGAACAGAATCAACATTTTGGGATTCACTTATCTAAATAGTTAAATAACACAGCACGCCACACAGAAAGACACGGAAAAGGAAGGGAACTAATAAAAGTGTTTAGGTAACATTAATGAGATTTGACAGCTCTTTTTTTAATATAAAACACTGTTAATGTATAACAGTTTATTCTTTTTAAAAAGATGTCACTGTACTGTTTATAATTGCGGGCAGCATGGTGGTTAGCACGCTTGCCTTACAGCAAAAAAGGTCCTGGGTTCAACTCCACCATCTACCTGGGGCCTTTTTGTGGGGAGTTTGGATGTTTTCTCCAGGTACTCCGGCTTCCTCCCACAGTCCAAAGACATGAGTGTGAGCGGTTGTTGTCTCTCTGTATTAGCCTCTCACAGCTGGGATAGTCTCCAGCCCTCTGCTACCCTGAATTGGATAAGAGGAAGAAAATAGATGTTTATAATTGGTACTCACATGATACAGTCTTGCAGTAAAATGTGTCGTGGTAATGGTGCACAGGTTTCAGTTATCCTTACTGACCACTAAATTTTTACCAGTAATTAGTTAAACTGGTTGGCTTGTTGCCCTGTGTTAGACTGGTGACCTACCTCTTGCCAAATGTCAGCTGAAACATGAGTGTACTCTTAGATAAGTGCCTATGCATCTGCAGTGTTCATCTCTTGGAGTTGAATGAATACGATCCTACGGTTCACCAGTGTTCAGGGGTTTGTGATGTCATGAAAAAATGTCAGCCTATAGACCTTTGAGTGGCACAGACAGCTGGGCCCACAAGTGGGGGTGGAAAACTAAAGAGAGGGTGCTCAAAGTTGAGTGACGTGCAGAAACAGTGTGTGTGTGTGGTCAGATATATTATGGATAATGTAGGAGAAAACTGAATTTGCTTTCACAAAGAGGTGGAGATAGTAGAGCAGGTAGAAGATTGATGCTGTATGTGCCTTTATGAGTTATATACGTGTGTACGGTGTCTATATATACACAGCATGCTCCTTGATGGGGTTTAGTGTGACCTCTGAATGTGTGTTTGCATGCAAAAGCAAATCGGGGCTGTGATTTTGAAGGGCACATGCTTTATATGGACTTTAGGGGATTATTAGCATGTAAGTGTGATGTGTGCAAGTACAAGATATAATACAGTGGGCTGGAGTTACATGCACATGTGTGTAGGATCAAGTTTTTATGCTGCACAGTTTGTTACTTGTAGGTGACATTTACATATTCTTCACTGAACATCTGGCATTCCACAACACGAAGCAATAAATTTTTTATTTGGTCCGAGTGACATGACATGTCTGATTACAGGCAAGTCTTTGTCTGGGTGTGTGGTATGCATCTCCTATAAGAGACCCTTTATTGTTTTTGTACCAGTGTACTCAGTAATGTGTCTGATACATGAGAATGTTGTAGGACACGTCTTTCTCTTTCCTTCTTTGCCTTGTATGATGGTGAAGGTTTCATTGTGCACAGTGTTATTGGCACAAACTGGCTCCTGCTGCACAGGACACACTTTTCTTTAGTTTACTTTCTTAATCGCTCATCAAAAATATTAGCAAATGTTCAACCTTTTGACATAAAAAAATATTCTATTCTATTTTTTGACCATAACAACTTAACACTCAACTTAACTTAATTTTCATACTGACCTGAGTTACCCCGTAGACAGAGGTGTTGTTATTGTGGAAAAAAGCTCACCTTATCAGGATAGAAATGTTTCCTTTTATAATCAGGACCACGCTGTACAACTTTCATATGATTTATAGTACTCAAACATTCCCAACAGCATAACATAGCCAGTGGATGCCCTAACTTTAGGGTCATTGATTGATTGAAATTATCATCAATATGTCGGAGAAGATCCTGAGAGCGGTACAGCAGTGAGTGTCTGCAAAACTTGTTGGTGCTTCTGTCATTGTTTGAGGCTTAATTTCCGTCAGTGGTGTTGGTGATCTTGTCAAAATTGAAATTATGAACACAGGAAAGTACTGTCAGAGTTTGATCCACCATGGAATACAATGGCTTCATTTTTTTAGTGTGACAATGATTCAAAACACACTACTAATGTAGTAAAAGCCTACCTGATAGAAAAACACACAGTCATGGATTGGTATCACCACACCCCAGACCTAAACATTATTGAAGCAACGTGACATCATCTTGACAGAGAACAGAACAAAAGACAGCATCAATCTAAAGAAGCCTGGAGAATAACTCATGAAAACTACTTACACAAATTACAAGAAAGCTTGTCTAAGAAAGTTCAGACAGAGTAGTTTTTGGTCGTAACAAACACCTACTTTCAACATTGCTAGAATCATGCAAACTCTGTTTTTGGACAATATATACACTGTATTTCCTTCCATATATGTTTGCATTTTTAATGAACTGCTCCATCTATTTCCCAGTTTTCTTGCAAAATATCAAGAAATGAGGGATGGATCAAGACTTTTGCACAGTAAATTTAACAAAGACTAACAGAAAACTGTATTTAACAGTAAAGGAAAAACAAAACATACAAAAGAAAATATTTTTCAATAATTTTAGACTAGGATAATAGACTGGCTTACCTTATAGCTCACAAACTAGCTGTTACATTTACTACATGAACTCATTTAAGTATCCCTTGTTTTAAATACTGTCTCCAAGTTTAAACCAATGAATAGAGTCATGAAACATGTTTATCTTAAATGTATAAATCACAAAATCACTTCACAATTTAATCCGACTAAATTATTTTTCTTCCCTGATAAAATGTCTGGAGTGGAGAAAGTATAAATTCAGGGATACAAAAGCAACTTTAAAAACACACTTTATCTTTGTGCAAGTCAGCACACAGAAGGGTTTTTTTGTATAGTGTCACTGCAAAGTTTTTCCATGTGTAATCTAACATTTTTCCCTGAGTTAATAAAGCGATGATGTGACAGTACAGCTTGATCACTCATTGTGTTCTACATTTTATGTGCTCATTCGCATTTTTATTTGCAAAGCTCCTCTCCACATTTCCAACTGCTTAGCCATGTGTTTGACGTAACTTCCAGGCACTCAGCACCTGCTTAGACGATGATTTGACAGATGTGTCTGACCAGCAGACTCAATTGGAAACTTCTCATTATAATTCCACAGCTGGAATTGCCATCAGCTGTGAAAGCCATGCTGGAGCTCTGGGTAGGTTTCGCTATGACAAGCTATAAATAAACATCATCATAGTCAACTTGCCATTAAATGAGCTATGTGCCACCTAATGCTGTTTATCCCTAAAGAGCCACTGCATATCAGCTCACCATACCACACTGTACCAACTACTTCAGGTTTTCAAAGTTGGAATTTACAAGTGGGAATATAGAGGAGAAATGTATATATGCTACGCTAAAGTGGACATGATGCCAAGTGTCTGTCAATGTAGATGTGAGCTTAATATGAGCCAGTGCCTTGTCTAGTAAGGGAAAACAGAGAAGTGCTCAGTGCACATCGTGAAACTTCAACTTTCCAGCACACTGGAAATTCTGTTTTCTTGACACAACATGGCAACTGTAATGAAGGAGACCTGAAAATAATGTACTAATTCAAGTGGAAACATCTATTTAACAGCTAACTATCAATGCAAGTTGTAAATGAACCCAAAAAATATGTGCCTATTTACCTTTCATCCTTAGAAACGTTTTTGTAAACAGTTATATTTATACGTTTATCAATTAAAAACTGAAATTACGCTTCTATTAAACATTGTTAGAACTAGGATGAATTACTTATTCTAAATGTCTAAAAACGCGCTGGTCCTACAGTAAATGATCAAAGTTTCAGAATTACCCGCATGGAAGGTGCACCCAGAGCCCACAGAGTTTATTATATGCCGCCCTCTACAGGTCAAATCCATACACTGCACTGACAGTTTGGGTTTTGTGTGTTTTTTTAAGAAATTAAAATATCCTCTGTTGTTATCATTCATTATGAGATTCAGCAAGATTGAAATGGCCATTATCCCCTTTCACTCTGTGGGTCGGATGCCAGCACATTATCCAAAGAGGCTGTTTGGTACCACTGTGTCTTTTTGTAAATATTGCACTCTGATCTGGCCATAAGAATATAAGAAGGAAACGACAAGCTGGGCGAGTACCAAGCGCTGAGAGAAGAGCAGTCGATACAGTGCGCAGGACCCTCAAGCTCCCAGGCCTCCGGTTGAGGACCATTTTTTAAAGCTAGCAATTACAATAATAAAATAAATTTAAAAATATATCAACAGAGGATTTCTCACACCTCACAACCACAAACATGAAGATGGGACTTTGTGTAATGTGCTTTTGTTTTTAAAGAGTAAAAGTCAGGAGAACTGGAGCTGTATGTCTAACATTTATTAAAAAATAAATAAACAAGCTCCACATTAATATTCACATTTAAATCTGAAACGACAGTTTGGCTGCCTCTCGCTTATAGCGTGTATGTGCTTTTGCTTTCAAGTTTTTTATGGGCTTTAACAACGCTGCTTTTGATTGGACCAATTTTGACATCCATTTTGTCTGACCAATCAGAAAGCCAGAACCTTGTTGGTGCATTAAGGAAGGGGAGAAAATACTACTGTCTACTAGCAGCTCAAGAGGAATATTAGAAGTCCATCTGCGGCGGTTTGTCTGCAAACACGAGTATGTACGCGAAACCTTTACGTGCACTTTCATTTGACTTATTCTTGAAGGTTGTGTCGCGAACTCGACGATACATTTAGCCAGGGCTTACGAGCTAGCATTCATGCTAGCAGCATATCGTTAATACTTTAATGGACGATAACAGCTGATTTCTCTCACTTTGCTGACAGCATTGTCACGAGACCTTGGCACTTACAAGTGCATAATTTGCAAGCAACTTTCTTGCATCCTGGGGGTAGTTAAATGTGTGTACTCAAAAAGTGAGTTGACCTTTCAGTGGACGAGCTAGCAGCCTGTGTAGCAAAACAGTAATATGACGACGTGTTGTGTGACCAGTTAGCAATGGTGCAAGGACGGGGAGCGTCATCAAACCAGGTGAAGCAGATGTGCGCGAACGCACTCCAAAGATATTCCGAATTACAATTATAGTAATATAAAATATTCACAAATGTGTGTTATAATTACATTTTACGTGATATATGTATTAAATAAACGCGTTTCAGCACATTTTAATGAATATCCTAATTGAATGTTTGGAGACTGCCTCTAATTATTCAGTGCGCAGGCCCTTGAATGGTGCTGGAACAGTTTTGTTTTGTGAAAACGGCACGATTTTGATATATTTGTGCTACAGAAACGCACCACGGGATTATCTGCAATATAGGGGAAATAGTCTGTGCATTAGCATGAGTTTTTGTTTACGTTTCCTCTTCTCGGTGCAAGTGCGCTAGTAAATCAACAGTGATGCTGAATGAATAAAAATACATGTTTTAAACGGGAAAACTGTTTAAATAGACGTAACGCTTGGTTTATGCTAATTTTGATGCTGTTTACTGCGAGTGCAGTCCTAAGAAGCTACGACAAAACAGGGACACGATGGGCCTGCCATTTTGTTAAACCAACAAGAAGATGAATGTCCAAATGCACCAATTTATTTCTCAAATTAAAGGCAGGAAAAACAAAAGCTGTGTGGCCATCACCAGGTGAATTGAATGTAATAAGTTTAACAGGTAATTTAAGGGACCCAGGTTAAATGAGGTCATCATTGACAAAGATTATGAGTATTTTTGGACTTGTAATTGAAATTAAACATTTATAGAAAATAACTTTGACATGGCAGCTTTTTTTTTTTCCTTAAGTGTCTTTTATCTTATGTTGCATTTGATGCTTCATGATCCTTCTCACATCAACACAGCTTAACAAGACATTGAAAGCATAGTCAGCAGTCAGTAAGCCAGAAAGATAAAAGCATACAGCTCAGCTACTCTCATGCCACTTCTGCTTACTTTGATCACTTCTCTCTTCTCACCCATTAGCAGTTTGAGTTTGTCTGTCATCCAGTGTTATGGAACTGGCTTTTTTTTTTTCATGTGTTTTGTCTTCTTCCATCAGAAAGAAAACTCAGTGCGATCGTCTGCTAAGGAAAACATCTGCTCTGTACTAAACGTGAAGATGGTAAGATGCTGCAATTAATTTGGGTTTTATTTTACAAAAATTGTGCCCTTGAACGCACTCTTTTAATTTTAATCCAGAGATGCTGCAATATTAGAGCGTGAACCTCAACAGTCAGACCACCCCTGATGTGCAAGCAGGTGGTGACATTTGAGAGGATATTCTAGTGATGACTGATCTAGATATTATTTTAATTATGTTGTCTGTCTGTTTTGTCTTTAAATACTTTTGAATCCATGAGGGATTTCCATGGTTGGAGTTATGTACGGTCCCATACAATTACAATATAATGAATCTGAATACCCTGATTGCTAGTAATAATGCTTCTCTTGAGGTAAATCAGGTGTTGGCAATTTGATGTGTGTTTATTAATAAATAAAAAAACACAATAATTTGTCTTCAACAGCTTTACATCTTTAAAATTGAAATGACAGATATGTCAAGTAGAAGTTAAAGGGATCTGCTATGCTATCTTAATTTTTGTTCAATGCATACTGTGTCTGAGGTCCATGTTCATATTAAATATGGCCAAAGTTTCAAATAACAAGAGCCAAATTCTAGTTCAGACCACATTAAACACTCTGTTTCCAACTGCTTTTATCTATTCTTGGCTGTGTTTGGTGTCAAAGAAAATGAATGTCCCTCATATGGTTTTCTGAGTCATATTTACTGTCAATATTTCTTTTTTTTCTTCTTCTTTTCAATAGGTGTGACAACTGCTGAAGTTTTGTCACAGAAATACTTAAGAGAATTGGATCAAGACATCACAGAAGATGGAGCACTCTCCTCATGTGTACATACCAGAATTTGGAGGCAGTGAGGAGATAGGGGAGGAGGAAGAAGAGGAGATCTACCAAGTCAGCTCCAACATCGAACCTGACATGAGGTCTCATTATCAGGTTGAGAAAGATGGGAGCTCTTTCCCCTGTCAGCACTGTGAAGGACAGTTTGCCAGCAAGCAAGCCTTGGAAAAACACATGGAGGTCCATGCTTTGGTTAATGATGAGGCACATTTATACAAAAACAATACAAACAAAATGTCTTTTCCGTCAAAATTAAGTCACCTGCCGCATGAAAAGTCAAATGCTCTGGATTCAGAAGATTCAGTCACGCAGCTTCATACGTCATCCACGACTAGCTCTAATACTTCTCTTTTGTCAGCTGGAGATCTCTCTGATCAGCCACACACATCAGAAGTATCAGAGGGGCATCATGCGTGCAAGTACTGTGAAAAAATATTCACAACCCACACCAACAAGAGACGCCATGAGCGTAGAGTTCATGAGAACCAGCTGCAGTTCACACATGTGGAAAAAGCTCAGCTGCCTCAAGAGGAAAACCTTCACAGAACAGTCAGTGAATCATCTCAGCAGCAAACACGGCTTGGTGACAATACACCGCCTGCAGCTGTTGTGAAGAAAGAAGGGGAACATGAAGAACATTACATGTTAGATGTCTCTAGCAATATTTCAGAGAATCTGAGTTTTTACATTGATGGAAAGATAGTGTCAACAAGTACAGTCAGTAAATGTGAAGCAACTGAAGTCCATTCTGGGTCTTCGACTCTAGTTGGACTGGATGCCCTGATTCTGGACCCCTCTCATATCAGCCAGGTATTAAATGCAGATTCAGTTATAAGCAATGACATACCTGGTCAACCACTTGCCAAGAGGAGAACTGCAACACCACCTCTCTTACCACAAATTAAAACTGAATTGGAGTCTGAGGTAGTTGTGTCTTCATCTTCATCATCACTTGTATCTTCGTTAATAGAGAATTTACTTCCTCAGAATACAGAGTCTACAGTTGTGCAGAAAGAAAGAACAGTGTTTCTGTCACCAAAGCTAAAACAGCTCCTAGAAAAGCAGGATGGCCTTAAACCGACACTTGCGCTCATTACAGATGGCCAGAAGCCATGCTCACCTGTCTCTATCTCTGTCCTACCTTCTGGAACAGGAAAGTTTAAGAGAAGAACTGGCTCTCCAACAGGCTCTCCACAACAGACTCCAACATCTAATGAAGAGTCATCATCGTCAGATCCGGGAGATTTTGATATTGTAAGTACAAGGCAGATAGAAAACCAGCATATTTCACCTGTGAACCAAACAGTCAGTGACAATGATGACGTTACTACATCCGTAACGGAGACAGCAGTGAAACCTGTTTTGCCAGACAACTGGCCCCCTGTGACAGGCGGTAATTCCTGTAACCAGCAACCTCTGGATCTTTCTAATACAGTCAAAAGACAAGAAGATGTAGCTTTAGCTAATGCTGTGCTTGATTTGAGTTTGCAAAAAAAGAGCCTTTGTGAATCTGAAACTATGTCAAATTCAGGTTCACAGGCTTTTTCCAATGAAGCAGAACAAAAAGCAGCGATGGAAAAATCTTTGATAAAAATCGGAAACCAAAACCTAAGTCTTGCAAATTCTGAGGCTCCTTTAGTCACAGACTTCACCATAGTAACGGGTTCAAACATTGTTACCCCAGTGGAGCCTGTTGCAGATGGACTTGTGTATGGACTTGCCCTACCCCACAGTTCTCTCACTCCATCATCTGCCTCCTTGACTCCTGTCGCCTTGCAACCAGCTTCACCATGCACTATAGCATTTGCTTCCCCAGCTGCACACACCATGCTCCCTACTGCTCCTTCATTAATCACAGTTTTGGCACCACCGCCACCTATCTCCACCGCTTCGAGCCAACCAATCCAGGTATTGGGCCCAAATATAACTACTGAACCCTTTGTACTCTGTGCAGAAAATGCATTAAATTCTTCTGAGAGTGATTTAACGCCTACATTTGCCACTGCAAACTCTGCAAATCTCGTCACACTTTCCCAACCACTTGACCCAACACTAAATTTACCTGGCCATGTGTTTCTTACTGATCAAATAGCTCTCAACCCACCAATAGTTGATTCAGCACCTGTCACAGAAGTGCCGTTCACACCCACTGTAACTTTAAGTGATTCCCTACTCAACTCTTACAACATTGCCAGTAACACTGTGTTAATAGAGTGTACAATAGCTCTTGAAGCCCCAGGGAATGTAGTTCCTGCTGCAATTACCTTACAAGAAAATACAGCTGAGCCTCCAGCACCTACACAGATGGTTGTTAATCACATAGAACAGCAACAGATTGTATCTGTTCCCAGTGCTCAAACTGTGGAACCCACTATTCTTGTGTCCTCCATCGCAGAATCTGTAACTCTGTCCACTTCCACCTCAGTGGTATCAGATTGTCCTCCTCTGGGTGAGTCAAACTCTGACCCAGAGCCTTCAGTTGGGACAGAGCCACCAACCACAAAACCTGAGGAAACCACTGACAGTTCTGCTTCCGCACCTGAAATCTCATCTGAACCCGCTCCCTCTCCTGAGAAAGTTAATGAAGATGAATCCTCAAATGATCCAGAAAATGATGTCCAAGAGCAGACATTCACCAAGAATTTCATCTGCAATGTGTGTGATAAGCTTTTCCATTCAATGAAGGAACTTAGTCATCATGTGGCTGACCACGCTGATGACTGGCCCTACAAATGTGAGTTCTGTGTGCTGCTCTTTGGCAAACCCTCTGCTTTACTTGACCATCGATCAAGCCTCCACGGTGTTGGGAAGACTTATGTTTGCAGTGCTTGTACAAAAGAATTTGTCTATCTTTGCAATCTGAAGCAGCATCAGGAAGAATTGCATCCAGGCCAGCAGTGTACTCATACAGAAGAAGAAAAAGGCAAACTAAGACCTCAGAACTACAACAATTCAGCTAAAGTCAACACAGATGCTTCAGGACCTGAAGCTCAAGAGGAACTCAAGAAATTGGTGAAAAAGGAAGAGGGTGTAGTAGACGTGGGTGGTGAAGAACTTTTTACAACAATTAAAGTCATGGCTTCAGATGGAGGCAAAATCAAAGGGCCTGATGTTCGTCTTGGCATTAACCAGCACTATCCTAGCTTCAAGCCCCCTCCATTTCCTTACCACAACAGATCACCTGCTGGTTCGTTGGCTTCAGCCACAAACTTCACTACACACAACATCCCACAGACCTTCAGTACAGCCATTCGGTGCACCAAATGTGGAAAAAGCTTTGATAACATGCCAGAGCTTCACAAGCACATCTTGGCTTGTGCCAATGCCAGTGATAAAAGGCGATACACACCCAGAAAGAATCCCATACCTCTACGTCACTTTGCAAAATCTCAAAATGGAGTGCTGTCAACTACCAATTCTACAAATGGATTAAATGCTTCAAATAGAGTCAGTCAGTCAAACAGGTCCAAACCTAGCCAGGAACCACCTGTAAAGTTCAAAGTACTTAACAAAAGGAAGAAAAAGTTTGCCCAAAGGGTCATGCCGCAGAGGAACAAGTCCATGCATTCATCAAATAAAATGTCACCTGTACAGGTGGGTGAGCAACAGGAATTATTTGTGTGTCCACACTGCAGCAGGGAATTCACAATGCGTCGCAGCAGAACCAAACACATGGCTGTTTGCCCCAAGAAACCTAAAGAGGTAAAGAAAAGGAAAGAATGTGGGATCTCTGTGACGAAGGAAAACGATGGACACTTGCATAGAGGGGTTCCTCATGGTGAAGAGCAACAACAAGGCTCACCTCCACATAAAACGAGACTTCAGACGTCCGCCTCTGCAAAGAGGCCTGCCATTCTACCAGTGCAAACTGTCTTTTCAAGCAAAAGAAGTAAAATCATTATAAAAGAGAGCACGCAGCCAAAACAAGAGACGCCCACCTTGAATGAGCTTCCCATTGTTCGCACTTTTAACCCCTCCATGCGGCAGTATAGCAGAGTGCAGCACAGCGTCAAAGGAGTTCCCATCAAAATAACTATTGTGAAACCTCGGCAGACAGCACCGCAAAAGGATGAGTTGCCTCCCACCCAGAGGAGAGAAGAAGCAACCGGATCTGTTACCGGCAGTGCTAAGCAGAGCGCTTCAGCCTGATGACTACACAGCAGGCGGTCGGGGATCAGCAGGTAGCAAACATAGTAGCACACGTAGCTTGTGTGTAAGTTCTCGGCACGGTTGTGTTAAGAAATCTGTTTTATTTTTATTCTCAGGACTCTGCTGTATGGATCTCCTTCAGTGACTTTAAAGGGAGGAAACTGGTAACGACACTGTAAACCCAGCAGACTTGTAGGCTGCAGAATACTGTATAATAAACTGAATTCAGGACACTTACAACAGACCATGAAGGATTCTGCAGTGAGTAGGTTTGTGTATAACCAAGTCTTTCAATGCTTTTGTAGTATTTTTGGAGTTTTGTAGAGTTATCCTTCATTGCAGAAACTTTCTGTCAACGGCTTGGATTTGCACTTGAAGTTAATCTGACTGCTACATGTCACAAACTGAAGAGGAAGTGGGGGGGAAAACTGAGCTGGAAGGGCTGCTCTGCTCATTAGGTTAGACGATGGCAGGTGGCAATCATTTCCCGCATGCATTTGCACTTTTTCTTAACTGTTGTCTGTGGCCTTTTGGTTTAAACTCTTAATGCATGCTGTCTGTGAGCTTGTGATTTAAGTTGCATTCATCTAGGATGAATTTTTTTTTTTTTTGAGATGCAGTTAGGCCTTAAACACTGCCTCTGATCATTTGTTGTCCTGTTAGGAAGTAACCAGCGTAAGTACCCAGAAGACATGCCAGAGATAAGAAAATGTAAATGTGTATGATTGTTTCTGAACTTCAGTCTACAGAATCATACAAAACCATAGTGTAATGTAACACTGGTGACAAGCATCATGATAAATTGCAACTATGGATTTGAGCAGCGTCACTTAATACTTGGGAAAGTCAATTTTTCATCATGAGAATGTAAGATTAAGTTGATTTAATGCTACAGCCTTCTCAGTACAAAACCGTATTTTGTCATTGGCCGAGCTGCTACTGTATATACGTGTATGGGAGTTCTCTTAATAATGCTCTATGTGCCATCTAATGTATATAATATGACTAAATGTGTCATAAAAGTGGTGAAAACAAGTATTCTGTGTTTCCCAAGTAAAGAATTTACTTAGGTGGTTCACCCAAATACAGTCACCATCACTTACTGCAGCTCAATTTGCATATTCAGGCCTTGCAGAAGTTGCTTTGAAATATTGCATTGATGTGACATTTCTTGTCATAAAAACGAGATAAAAAAAACGTACCAGGAAAGGTTTTGCTTGAGCACGCAGCGCTGCCTTTGCAGCCGTTTTGAATGTGTGACACCACAGATAAATTCTTAATGTCTGGGGAAGCTCTGCAGTTTGGTGAATTTACAGCGCACTCCCAAACAGAAATACTGTGCTAATATTCTGATGCACCACTGCTGGTTTTACATTTAAGTTCATGTCTAAAGAACACTGACAGAGCCAATCTTTGTTTTGGCTTCACTGTCTTAATTTGCTCACCTGATTTTGCACTTATTCTACAAATGCTTTCTTTTTTGTGTTTTTGTTCTTTTTTTGTGTTTGTTTGGGTTTTTTTTGTAGTGTTGGCCCCACTGAATGTGCAGTCAGTTAAGATATTTCCATCTGTAACATACAAGCATTACATCATTGCTTATAATCTGTGCAGCAGCTGTCAACAGTTTAATGTGTGAAGTGCGTAAAATGAAGTCCAACATGTATCAATCACAGTATGGGAATATGATCATTTTTTGGTTTGTTTTTGTTTTGTTTGGGTTTTTTTTGTTTTTTGTGCAGCAAACCTCTAGTGGCATATAAAAATGTTTGTGGCATCATGTCAGTAAAGTATCTGTTTATTTAAAAATTTCTAAGCTACTAGTTTGCTCCACTGCTATACAGGGTAGTAATTGTGTTATGACTGAACTGAGTGTTATTAATTTGCTCAAACTAAAACTTGACAATGGCCTGTATCTGAGGGACAGTAATGGTACTTATACGTTTTTGACTTTCAAACTCATTATTGATAATATTGCTTTCGTTCAGAAAGTCTTCAACATCTTGGATGTACAGAACGGTTTGGGAGACTGTTATTTTACTGTGAAAAGTGCTTGTAGCATTTCGTAGTGTAAATTGAGTCATGTATATTTATTAATAATTTAAAAATCATGTTATCAGTCTTTGAACAATTTCTTTGTATGATTTGCACTAAAGTTTTGTTTTGTTTTTCGAGCAAGTGTTCAGAATAAATTGAGAATGTTAAAGCTTTTTGTGGAGTCTATATGAAACTTTATCTAATGGATCAAGTTGAGTTTAACGAATCCCAGTAAAGACCTGCAGCCTTTGGATTGTGTTCTGAAAGTGTTCAACAATGGCCAGCTGGTGGCACACTTTCCTTACTTTAACTTCAGGAATGGCAGATACCTGAGGAGAACGGTAGATAATAATGTAATACCACTGCATCTCTACCACACTACCACATTCTGTTTGAAAAATCCATTCATGTTTTTTCTGCACTCTAAAAGAGAGGAGGGGGGGCACTATTCGTCTCTGGTGCATGGAAGAATATCCACAGTTCCCATCCTAGGACCCAATTCTTGAAAAAACAGTTATGTAGTATCGTGTTTTTAATTTTACAAGATATATAATCAACAGGAGCAACTCACTACCAGCTTCTATCATTTATTCACATGCGGTTTTACTTTACTGTGAAGAAGTGTTGAGAAACCTCTCAATTCTTCATATTTTGCTTCCAAGGAATCTGACTTTTCTTCTATTCTTGTGGTCTTGAGCAAGAATTCTCAAAGCTCTCTGAAGGTCTTTCAAAGTTTTTCTCTGGACATTGGCTGTTTTTCCACTAATTTTCAGTTTAGTCCTTGTATCTGACCACTTTCAGAGAAGTGTTTTTTGTTTTTTAAGCTCCTTAGCACTGACCTATGAATCACCCAAGCATAAACAAGGCACCTAACTCAAGGGATGACTCAGTTATTGTGTCTTCACATAACAGACAACAAAGAACATATTTTAAATTGTATTTTTAGGTACTTTTGCTACTAGTACACATCTTGACAAAATTGCCAAAGATAACAAAGTTTGACAGGCTTAAAAAAATATCTTCAAACCAATAAGGTGACTCCCAAACACTCAATTGCTAAAAACCTGGGAAATATCTGCATAATGCACACTGTCCTTACAACAACTAAGGAAACTGGACAAGTGGAGGATAAAAGAAAATGTGGCAAGCCTAAAAAACAACTTGGTGTTAGCATTGTCTGCTACTAATTACTTACTATATATATATAGCTTTTTCATGCTCTATTTGTATGCTTGCACATGCTTAAATCTTGAAAGTGGAGAGTATTTGTGTGATATTTAAAAATGTTGAGAAGCCATTTGATTAACTGGTCATTTTCCACATTTCCACATTCTTTTGGCTTGTACAGAAATTTTTCCACGAGCATCAAAGCGGCTCAGTACATTCTTCCTGCAGACCGATGAAGTAATTTGATGACACAAACAAAATTGAGTCTTGACAGATTCCAACAAACTCCTTGTTCTTCTATACTAAAGGCTACTCAGTATGTGCCATTCTTTGCACCACTGTTAGTCTTTCAGCTCCACCTACAGCTAAAATTGCTAATTAGACTTTTTCCATCAAAAGCTGAGATTGTGCAGATTAACACTGAGAGACATGCTGGGCTGCTGGTTAATATGTACCTATTGGTTGAGCCTTTCTAGGGCATTACACAACTCAGTCCTTCTGTGTCTGTGTCAGATGAATAGACTGGCCTGAGTGTATTAAAATATTTCTTTTAGTTAAGGCCAGAGCAAACATTATTTGAAGAGAGTAATGGCATTTCTGTCACTTTTAACTTATCACGTCATTCTAAATGTGTTTTTATGTGAATTCACAAATACTGGTTAATGTTGCATGAGAGCCACAAACTGATTCTTGGTGCATTGTAGCTGAATTACAGCTGACATTTCAAGCTGCAAATGTCTACCAATTTCATCGCAAGGATTTCAAAGTTGGAAATGCTCCCATTAGCATTTTTGAAAAGCTGTAAAATATCACATTTAAACATGCTTGACGACTACTCAGAATTTGTAGTGAGAGTAAATAACAATTATTTAAGTTTCTATTAAAAAGGAAAAGGAAAGATTGAGTGCTCATGTTGTTTAACTCATTGCCATGTTCAGGAAATCAGTTTAAGATGATTTAACTTTGGTGAGATGGTGCATTTTTCTGCTGGAAGAAGCCATCAGAAGATGGGTACGCTGTGATCATAAAGGGATGGACATAACTGGAACAATACTCAGGCAGGCTGTGGAGTTTAAAGTTTGATCTTTATCCAATGACTTCTCTGTAAACCCTATAGATGATTGTCGGAGACTCTAAGAAGATCAGCAGTTTCTGAAATAGTCAGATCAGCCTGTCAAGCACCAACAACCGTACCGTCAGCTGCTTTAAGCTTTCCTTTACCTGTATGTAACCACACACCTAATTTCCATCGACCAATTGGTCTTCGGGTCATATGCAGTACAGTTAACGAGCATTCAGGCAATGCTCGGTGGAATCCTACTTTGTTGTTGCACATTATCAGCTGCTAGTTTCTCCTCCTTCAATGCGTTGTTGTCCTAAACAGTGTGTTTTTCCCTGAAGTAGTGAAACTAATTTGTCATTTCCACCTTTAGCAAGAACTGTTTTCTTGCATATTATGAGAAGCATTGTGGTGGAAGTTGTTTAACTAGCTCCCTTTTTATTAAATCTTCATGGAAAGCCACACAAAGCTCTTACTGTCAGATGTGAGTCGGCTTGTCTCACCAATTTGTGTGCTAGGGACTGGAATTGGATGGTGTTACTATATCATGATATGAGCTTTATATCATGTAAAAATTTATACCAGTAATATTACGAAGAAAAATTAGGCCAGGAATTTTTTTTATTGTTGTTCATTTAAAAAAAAAAAAGACAAAATATAAAAATACTGCAAATTTTAGCATTGATCCAATACCAAATAAATACAGGGGCGATACTGATACGATTAACCTATTAGTACAGCTTATGTAGGGGAGAGCAGTGTGTAATGATTAATGAGATGAATCATCATCAGTTTGCAAGTCATGGACACATTTTAATTGTGATTAATTATTTTTACATTTCAATACATATACAAATACAAATACAGAAGGAAGACACAAAGTGGTCCTATATACATAAGCAACTGAAATTTGTATGTACAGATAAAAATGTACAGAGATATGTACACAAGTGTGTGTGTGTGTTTGTGTGTGTGTGTGTGTGTGCAACCATGTTAAACTGTGGCTGTAAAAGTCTACAACTGAAGGAGCTGCTCAGTGCTCGTACAGTCTCATGCAGAGGTGGGAAGTGTTGTCCATGATGGATGTTAGCTCAGACAACATCCACTCCTCCCCAATCTGCTCAACGGACTTCAGCAGACAGTCCAGGACAGAGCTGGCCCTCTTGACCAGTTTGTTAAGTTTCCCCCTGTCCCTCTCTGCCGTTCCACCACTCCAGCAGACCACAGCATAAAAGATAGCAGACACCACCACAGTGTCATAGAACATCCTTAGAAGAGTCCTGTTCACTTCAAAGGATCTCAGCTGCCGTAGGAGGTCTAACAACCTGCATAACAGACTATATCAACTTCTGCGTGGATAACACTGTACCGACGAGGAAATATCCAAATTTATGATATCGGTATCGGACATAAAAAAAGTGGTATTTTGCCATCTCTAGTATTTATTCTTTCACTGAGCATATACCTGCATCACGAGTGTCAATGATGACGTCTGCAGGCTCAAAAGTCCTGGCCTTGCTCAACCCCGGTCCACTCACACGCACATGGCTTGCATCACTAATCTCTGACTGCTTAATCATAACAGCAGTTGGGCTGCTGGGAATATGACGACCGTTCCTCTTGATCTTAACAAGGTACTTGCCAATCTCCTTGGGAACAAACGAGATTCCTAAGACAGACAGACAAAACAGATGAGGGTTAACAACGCTTATTCTTGTGTGTGCATGCAGCCCGTTTCAGTTGCTCCTGCTTCTTTCTCCATGCTTTAACTTTTATTACTTTTCCCCCTCTGTCTTTTACTTAGGGATTAATAAAGTATTTGGATTCTGCTGAGTCTCATTGTTTAGCAAACTTCTCACTTATCAGGCGGACACTCACCAACGTGAGCGTTACATAGCATCTTCAGCAGGCAGGGCTCCTCTGGCCCTGAGGGTGTTGTAAGAGAGGCTGTTCCCTGGCTGAGGTCAAGCTCTCCTATGTCCAGTGGAATATCTGCAGCTAAACCCACCTTCAGATGGTACGTCCTCATGGTATCGTCACTTAGAGAAGGAAATGAATTACTTTGCTGTAGCGTTTGGGCTGCCATCTTAGAGGCTGCATGGATGGTCTACACTGATGTAAAAAGACAGTTACCAGTAATCCTAGCAGAGAAGGGGCTGCCTGGGATGTGCTTGTCATTGTATTTAACAAGGATGCTGTAGTCTCGTGGCAGCACTGGCAGGTAAGACACCGTGCAGGTTCTGTCCTGGTTGTGCACACAGGCCCTCGATGGCCAGAGACAAACCACCTACAAAGATGTGATATGAACAGACAGTGTCCCGTGTGTTTAAAATCAGAGGGAGCAGGTAAGTCATAGTGAATATAATTGCATTCCACAGCACACAATGTGTTTGGCCATGTGACTGTTACCTACCTTCTCCAGCATCTTTGGTTTTAACAGTAAAGACAGCTGGCTTGTTGACAGGCACTGCTCATGTAATCCATGTAGAACTGTAGAACTTTGCCTGATGCCATTCGGACCTCACCTAAAGCAGAGGACAAAAAACAATGACACTCACACATCACTATGATCAAACTGTTTATAAAGAAGATTTGTTATCTGTGATCTCTCCTTTCTGGATGGTGAATGGTATCACCAGGTCAAACGGTCTCAGACTTGTCACATCCAGCCCGTTCATTCCCATTGGTTGGTCTGTTGCCTGAGAGATAAGTGCACACGTCAGATCACAGGTTGTTAAATGTTTGTGGCAACAGTTCTGGTTACAGTGACAACATATCACAGACTAAACTAACGCAGTGTGGGATAGAAGAGGAAAACACCAACAATGAACAGAGGATGAGACGCTAAGATGGAATGACAATAGGGATCATGGTCAGGATGATGGTACTGACAAGCTACAAGAGCAGGATGGGGACAAACGTGGAGCAGCTGGGACG